GGAGGTCATAGAAGGCATCTGACTCATCGCTTTGCCTGCATCCCTCCACGGATGTTCATCTTCGGTGGGGGCATAAGTAACCACGACCACCATTCCTCACCTCCAGTTGATGGGAAGGCGAGCCCAAAGTAGCCTGGGGCTTACAGCTTCCCACACCTCACCGCCACGCTCCCACGCCCCCTTCATTCTTTTGTTCAAAAGAAGAGCCACTCCCTGTTGTTTGGCAGTCTGCTGCCCCGAGTAGAGGACTGTCCACCCCTCATGGTGGCAGGAGCCAGAGCTGGTCCACCAGACCTCCTGAATGCCGCATAGATCCAGGCGGTACCGGTCCAGCTCCCGACAGAGGAGTGGCAGCCTCTCCTCCGCAGTGAGCATTCGAACATTCCACGTGGCCACCCGTAGTGGTTTTTCGTTGTTTCTGGAGTAGCCCCGAGGGTAGGTATTCAATCTCCTGGCTCCGCCAATTGGGGTTTGGCCAGGAGACGTCATAGACGCCTGGCCCCCCGGGGCCTCCGGCACAAGCTTATTAAATTTCGATTTAAAGCTTTCGTGACTGCAATGATCCATCTTCTTTGGTTCTTTCGGTAAAGTCACGTAGAATGAGAATAAAATAATAAATTGATAAAATAAAATAACACAATAATATTCTCACGACGTTTCGGCCACAACACAAGCGGCCTTCATCAGGTGAAGGGAGCGAGACTGTCTGGTAGGACAGCGCTGGAGTGAGAGAGCCATGTTCAGATCACGGCTTTTAAGCTGTGTGAGAGGAACAAAGAGCCTTGACGAAGGAATTAGCATAAAATTTAGCATTGAAAAGGCTGAATGATTAGCTTGTGACTGGTCACAGAAATAGCTATGTTAAAAGTTAAAGCATACACATCCGCAGAGGCACCCATTGTTAAAAGGAATTAGCATAGAATTTAGCATTGAAATAGCTAAATTAAGGCATTCGCTTGTAACTGCTACAGAAATAGTTACGTTGAAGTCAGAGCATACACATTCACCGAGGCACTTAGTACAAATCAAAACAGTAGAATTTAGCATTGAAATAACTAGGCGAATTTAGCATTGAAATAACTGGGTGATTTGCTAGTGACTGGTCACAGAAATGACTACACATCTGAGATATTCACAGTACTATATAGTGAACCAATAAAAACTAAAATATAAATTACCTTCATGTTATCAATAAACTCTATATTCTCCAATCAGCTAAGCTACCAACCATAAGTCGTTATATATCACAATGCTATATGGCGAAAAAATGGGTGGATTCTTACCCTCAAATTTCCGTACCACGGATAGCTACGGGCCCCGTTCAGACGGACGAGTTCGTCCATGGTCGGAACAGAGGAGGGGGAGAGAGACAGCTGCGAAGCCCTAGTATACTCCATGTTGTAAACCATACCATTAACCGTGGTGTGAGAGGTATTAAGAGGCAATGCTGGCGAAAGAGCTGCGGTCTGAAGGTCATCGTAAGATGACCTTCAGACCGCAGCTCTGAAGGCCACTCAAAACCATCACCTTACCCTACATTGCAGGGGTCACTAAAAAGATCTCCAAAATCCTGAATAAACACAAGATCCAGGTCCGATTCAACACAGTACACAAAATCCGTGATTTAGTTCCATCTGTAAAAGATGCTCTTCCAGACATACAGTACCCGGGCGTTTACAAACTAAAGTGCCTCTGTGGTAGTAGCTACATTGGAGAAACCAAAAGACATATCTCGGACCGCATCCGCGAACATAAAGCAGACTTGAAACACGGTAAGACGAACTCCTCTGCCGTGGCAGATCACTGTTACAATTCAGTGGGCTCACATGACATTGACTTCTCCAAGACGGAGGTTCTTTGCAAACCAACTGGCTACCATGAGAGATTCGTTCATGAGGCCATTCACATATACAAGCACAGAGACAATTTCAACCGAGAAGATGGATTCAGGCTTAGTAACCACTGGAAAGATGTGTTAAATCATTTCTGTTCTTAATTAATTGTAATTTTACGATGACCTTCAGACCGCAGCTCTTTCGCCAGCATTGCCTCTTAATACCTCTCACACCACGGTTAATGGTATGGTTTACAACATGGAGTATACTAGGGCTTCGCAGCTGTCTCTCTCCCCCTCCTCTGTTCCGACCATGGACGAACTCGTCCGTCTGAACGGGGCCCGTAGCTATCCGTGGTACGGAAATTTGAGGGTAAGAATCCACCCATTTTTTCGCCATATAGCATTGTGATATATAACGACTTATGGTTGGTAGCTTAGCTGATTGGAGAATATAGAGTTTATTGATAACATGAAGGTAATTATATTTTAGTTTTTATTGGTTCACTATATAGTACTGTGAATATCTCAGATGTGTAGTCATTTCTGTGACCAGTCACGAGCAAATCACCCAGTTATTTCAATGCTAAATTCGCCTAGTTATTTCAATGCTAAATTCTACTGTTTTGATTTGTACTAAGTGCCTCGGTGAATGTGTATGCTCTGACTTCAACGTAACTATTTCTGTAGCAGTTACAAGCGAATGCCTTAATTTAGCTATTTCAATGCTAAATTCTATGCTAATTCCTTTTAACAATGGGTGCCTCTGCGGATGTGTATGCTTTAACTTTTAACATAGCTATTTCTGTGACCAGTCACAAGCTAATCATTCAGCCTTTTCAATGCTAAATTTTATGCTAATTCCTTCGTCAAGGCTCTTTGTTCCTCTCACACAGCTTAAAAGCCGTGATCTGAACGTGGCTCTCTCACTCCAGCGCTGTCCTACCAGACAGTCTCGCTCCCTTCACCTGATGAAGGCCGCTTGTGTTGTGGCCGAAACGTCGTGAGAATATTATTGTGTTATTTTATTTTATCAATTTATTATTTTATTCTCATTGTACGTGACTTTATCGAAAGAACCAAAGAAGACAAGCTTATTAGTTACATATTTCAGTTTAACTCGTGGTTTCGTGGTAATTAATTGAAGATGGAGGGGTTACCAGCCCCTCGCACCCGTCCAGAGCCCCCGTTTAGTCCCTGTGGTGGACACATATGCCATGAGGGTAGGAGCCAATCAAAATTGGATCTCCCCCCGCAGCACTGTCCACGACAGAGTTGCCCGTCCGGCACCGCGAGGAGGTAGGGGGTTGTTTTGCCGGACACACATGTACACACACACACATGTACACACGTACACACGTACACACTTACACACACGTACACACACGTACACACACACACGTACACACATGTACACACACACGTACACACACACACACACGTACACTCAACAACAACAACCGCCATTCGCCACTAAGTGGTGGTGACGTCACCACGACGCTTGTGCCAGGCTATGTGCACCCTGAGGCCACGTGAAGTGTCGAACGCCCGCTGGCAGGAGGTCACGGGGCAGACCCAGGTGCCACGGGTCGACTGACTGAGATGACTGGCTGATGCACCACCTGTGCCCCCTACTGTGCCAACCTGCTGTGCTTTAGCCACCCGGCGTTCCGCTCGTTGTTGTGAGCGTCGCTCCTCCGCCCTCCGTTGTTGTTGGAGGGCGACTACCTCCAACTGCCCAGTAGCATCCTTCACGAGCCTCCTCCACAGAGGTCGATCTTGACACCGCTGGTACCAGTCATCGGCAAGTCCACTCAGCTCCACGTCCTCCTGTACCACATCACTCCATCTCTTCTCTAGCCCGTGCCGCACCCGCTTTGCCCCCTCAATCCGGCCGAACAAAAGCTGTTTCGGCATGCGGTGGCTGGGCATGCGGACTACATGACCCAGCCATCGCAGCCTTGCCCGCCGGAGGAGCTCACCGATGGGACCTTGCCCAGATCTTTCAAGGATTTGTGAGCTCCTCACACAATCCAGTCTGGTTAAACCCAGGATGGATCGTAGGCAGGCCAGCCTAAATGTTTCTAACCGGCGAAGATGTTCCATTAGGGGGGTCCACGTTTCGCAAGCGTAGAGAAGGGAGGGAATGACCGTGGCCGAGAAGACCTGAAGCTTAGTGCGGAGCGACAGACCAGGTAGCTTCCACACAGCATTACGCAACCGATGAAAAGATATTGCCGCTCGACTGATTCGGAGTGAGACCTCTGCTGTTAAACTGGAGCCAGTCATAAGCACACTACCCAGGTATGGGAAACTCTCCACTCTCTCCACATCTGCCCCATCACCGATTGGGAGTTGTGGGGGTGGAGTGTCCGATGGTACAAAATACCCAGGCAGGTGCTTAGTTTTGGTGGGGCTGATGGTAAGGCCCCACCTCTTAGTGGCACGCTCCAGTCTCAGCAGCAGCGTCTCCAACTCCTCCTCTGACTGAGCAGCTATTACCAAATCATCAGCATACATAACGTGGTTGACCAATAGGGAGCCATCCCTTGACCGCACCCGGGCATCGATCAGCCTCCCATTATATCTGTACCATATGGAGATTCCCCCGTTACAGCTATTGAAGGCGTCACGAACTACGTGGTCAAAATAGATGTTAAATAATGTGGGAGCCAGAGGACATCCCTGTCGCACCCCAAGGTGTACAGGGAATGGCTCTGACTCCCGGCCACGTAGTTTTACCCGGGCCCGCTCACCATCATGAAGGTCCTTAATGATCGTGAGCAGAGGGTCAGGTACTCCAAAAGCACGAAGAATGACCCAGAGCCCAGGCCTACTGACGGTATCATAGGCCTTGACCAGGTCAATAAAGCAGAGATGTAGGTCTTGTTGGAATTCCCTACACCTCTGCTGTAGCAGACGGACAGAAAATATACACGTACACACACACACACGTACACACACACACGTACACTGCGGTGGTGGTTGTTGTTGACAGGCTGCTACCCGCGTTGCGTCAAGGCACGCCCCTACTGGGACGAGGAGTCCCACCACTGTGTTAGTGCCTCGCTATCGTTGTTTATGTTGTTGTTGTTGATGTTGTTGTTGATGTTGTTGTTAATGTTGTTGTTGTTGATGTTGTTGTTGATGATGTTGTTGTTGACAGGGTGCTACCCACGCTGTGTCAAGGCACGCCCCTACTGGGACGAGGAGTCCCACCGCTGCGTGGCTCTGCGGGAGTGCCCCTGCTACGTTGACGGCGTTCGCCTCGCCCACAACGCCACCAACGTCATCGTCGCCACCACCACCACGTGGTCAGCACTTCACACACAGGCTGCACCATAGACTAGCATGGTACCATAGACTAGCATGGTACCATAGACTAACATAGTACCATAGACTAGCATGGTACCATAGACTAGCATGGTACCATAGACTAGCATGGTACCATAGACTAGCATGGTACCATAGACTAGCATGGTACCATAGACTAGCATGGTACCATAGACTAACATGGTACCATAGACTAGCATGGTACCATAGACTAGCATGGTACCATAGACTAGCATGGTACCATAGACTAGCATGGTACCATAGACTAGCATGGTACCATAGACTAGCATGGTACCATAGACTAGCATGGTACCATAGACTAGCATGGTACCATAGACTACCATAGACTAGCATGGTACCATAGACTACCATAGACTAGCATGGTACCATAGTACCATAGACTAGCATAGACTAGCATGGTACCATAGACTAGCATGGTACCATAGACTAGCATGGTACCATAGACTAGCATGGTACCATAGACTAACATTGTACATAGACTAACATTGTACATAGACTAACATTGTACCACAGACTAACATTGTACCATAGACTAGCATGGTACCATAGACTAGCATGGTACCATAGACTAACATTGTACATAGACTAACATTGTACATAGACTAACATTGTACCACAGACTAACATTGTACCATAGACTAGCATTGTACCATAGACTAACATTGTACCATAGACTAACATTATACATAGACTAACATGGTACATAGACTACCATTGTACATAGACTAACATTGTACATAGACTAACATTGTACCCTAGTACCATAGACTAACATTGTACATGGACTAACATTGCCCACAGACTAACATTGTACCATAGACTAACATTGTACCACAGACTAACATTGTACCAGAGACTAGCATGGTACCATAGACTAACATTGTTCCATTGACTAACATTGTACATAGACTAACATTGTACATAGACTAATATGGTACCATAGACTAACATAGTACCATAGACTAACATTGTACCATTGACTAACATTGTACATAGACTAACATTGTACATAGACTAACATTGCCCACAGACTAACATGGTACCATAGACATAGACTAACATGGCACCATCTCTAACATTGCCCACAGACTAAGTGCGTGTGGATGCTCTAACCTGAGTGCCGTCACGCTCTCTCTTGCAGCGACTGCGTGAGCGGTGTCCCCCAGTGCAGAGACCTCGCCGCGACTACTCCCGTTGCTCCCACAAGCTCAGCGGCTCAGGTGTCATCGGCCAGTCCCACGAAGCCGGACTCTGAACATTCATCGGCCAGTCCCACGAAGCCGGACTCTGAACATTCATCGGCCAGTCCCACCAAGCCAGACTCTGAACATTCATCGGCCAGTCCCACGAAGCCGGATGTGGCGCACACCACGCTGTCGACCAGTCCCTCGCCAGTGTCTGGCACGGCTGCGGCGTCAACGACGGTGAGGAAGACTTCGACGGAGCTCACCGTCAAGCCCGCCGAGTGGTCGCCCTGGCTTAACGTGTCCGTGCCGACGCCGGACAACGAGGGGGACGTCGAGACGATCGAGAGGATCAGGAACGCCGGCGTCGACGTCTGCCCGGAGCCCGTGGGCGTCCAGTGCCGGGCCGTGATGTACCCGGGCCGGGACGTCTCCACGCTGGGGCAGAAGGTCATCTGCGACCGTCTCGTCGGCCTGATCTGCCGCAACGCCGACCAGAGCGGGCCCAGGCCGCTGTGCCTGGACTACGCCGTCAAGTTCTTGTGCGCGCCGGCGACCGGGCCGACGACGACGATGAGGCCGACCGCAGCGACATCTTCCGTGGCTCCGGGCGTGTCGCTGAGCTCCGTTCCGACTCCGCCTTGGGAAGCGAACTCCACCGAGCCCGACATCAAGCCGGCCGAGTGGACGCGCTGGTTCGACGTGTCCGCGCCGACGCCGGACAACGAGGGGGACATCGAGACGATCCAGAAGGTCAGGAACGCCGGCGTCGGCGTCTGCTCGGAGCCCGTGGGCGTCCAGTGCCAGGCCGTGATGTACCCGGGCCGGGACGTCTCCACGCTGGGGCAGAAGGTCATCTGCGACCGTCTCGTCGGCCTGATCTGCCGCAACGCCGACCAGAGCGGGCCCAGGCCGCTGTGCCTCAACTACGCCGTCAAGTTCTTGTGCGCGCCGGCGACCAGGCCGACGACGACGACGACGACGATGATGACCACTGTGGCGACGTCGTCCATCGCTCCACCGGTGTCGTTGAAATCGGCTTCATCCCCGACTCCAGCGGACAGGTGAGGGTGAAGCCGTCTCGTCCAACAACCTCGCCGGGCTTAAGTCTGCTGCTCACGTCATGCGTGCGTAGACAACTTCTCGGGGGGTATAGTGTCGGTAAAGAAAATAAACACGTGCCTGTGGTGGTCGACTTATCTCATGGTTACTACGAGGAAGTAAATTTCCACAAAAACGTGACCTATTCTAGGTTTATATTCTTGGTTCTTTCGGTAAAGTCACCACCACGTAGAAGGGAAACAATAAAATAATAAAAATATAAAACAATAAAATTCTCACGACGTTTTGACTGCAACACAAGAAGCAATCATCATCAGGTGAGAATTTTATTATTTTATATTTTTATTATTTTATTGTTTCCCTTCTACGTGGTGGTGACTTTACCGAAATAACCAAGAATATAAATCCCTGCAGTCACGAAAGCTTTGAATCAAAACTTATTCTAGATTTATTTTTGACAGTAGAATGTTTTTTTTTTGTTTAGATCGCATACATATTAAATGTGTCATTAAACCCTCCACCACCCGGCACGGCCAATTGGGAAGGTTTGTCATTAACAATTGTAAATGTTGCAGTGGGTTTATTCTCCAGCACACACCGGTCTGCTGAACTAGTGACGAATTGGCACGTTTTGTTTACGTGACGAACCTTAACGATCGCCTGCGTCGGGTGGGTGGTGGCGGGTCTTACGACGATTTATACTGACACAATCTATTAAAGCAATAATGGGTTTCCAGGAAGGGAACCCGAATGTATAACATTGTGGCCTGTGGGAAATTAAGTTTCAACGTACGATGGTTCCACTTGCCACCGCCATCCAGGAACCAATTAAGTTGGAGGTGTGGGGGTCACCTGTAGTGAGTGGTCGTAGGTGTAGGGGGTCGCCTGTAGTGAGCGGATGTAGGTGTTAGGGTCGCCTGTAGTGAGTGGTAGTAGGTGTGGGGGTCGCCTGTAGTGAGTGGTCGTAGGTGAGGGGGTCACCTGTAGTGAGCGGTCGTAGGTGTTGGGGTCACCTGTAGTGAGTGGTAGTACGTGTTGGGGTCGCCTGTAGTGAGTGGTAGTAGGTGTTGGGGTCGCCTGTAGTGAGTGGTAGTAGGTGTTGGGGTCACCTGTAGTGAGTGGTCGTAGGTGTTGGGGTCGCCTGTACTTCTCCCGGTCATGGGGGCCAAACATCAATGGTTTTCTTGATAAATGGCCACGTGTCTCACCACGTGGTTACTCTAACTCGAACCAGTCTGATCCAGATTCAGTCTCCCTCGTGATTGATTATGCAAGCTGGGTCAGACCATTTAATGCTTTTCACTGGTGGGGGGGGGGGAGATATAAATGCAGGTCATACCGTTAACTAAGAAAACAAATAGTTTTAATTAGCCAATCCTGGAGCTGGAATGATTAGCTAGTGGTCTTTATAATCGTCAGAGTTTTGTATTTTAAGGTGCCCTGGGATGATCTGCATGAGCACGCTGTGTATTGCATCGAATGTATCAACATGGGTCATTCCATTTTCATGCCCTTCATCGGGGGAAGGAATTCTTCAATACGAATCGTACCTTTTAAGTAGAATTCAAACACAGTATACTGTTTAAACATGCCAAGCCTTGAGCTGAAATGATTGGGCAGTAATTTTATTGTTACAGTCAGAGTGTTTGTATGTGAAAGTGCCCCACCATGACAGAGCCCAAATGTTCGTTGCATTGTTTCGTCCGTCTCTAGATCGCCGGAGGCCCCGGGCCTCACCAAGACCACCACCACGGTGGCCGGGCCCACTCCCGCGGCCTCGACGGAGCTCACCGTCAAGCCCGCCGAGTGGTCGCCCTGGCTTAACGTGTCCACGCCGACGCCGGACAACGAGGGGGACGTCGAGACGATCGAGAGGATCAGGAACGCCGGCGTCGACGTCTGCCCGGAGCCCATGGCCGTCCAGTGCCAGGCCGTGATGTACCCGGGCCGGGACGTCTCCACGCTGGGGCAGAAGGTCATCTGCGACCGTCTCGTCGGCCTCATCTGCCGCAACGCCGACCAGAGCGGAAGCCGGCCGCTGTGCCTGGACTACGCCGTCAAGTTCTTGTGCGCGCCGGCGACCGGGCCGACGACGACGATGAGGCCGACCGCCGCGACATCTTCCGTCGCTCCGGGCGTGTCGCTGAGCTCCGTTCCGACTCCGCCTTGGGAAGCGAACTCCACCGAGCCCGACATCAAGCCGGCCGAGTGGACGCGCTGGTTCGACGTGTCCGCGCCGACGCCGGACAACGAGGGGGACATCGAGACGATCCAGAAGGTCAGGAACGCCGGCGTCGGCGTCTGCTCGGAGCCCGTGGGCGTCCAGTGCCAGGCCGTGATGTACCCGGGCCGGGACGTCGCCACGCTGGGGCAGAAGGTCATCTGCGACCGTCTCGTCGGCCTGATCTGCCGCAACGCCGACCAGAGCGGGCCCAGGCCGCTGTGCCTCAACTACGCCGTCAAGTTCTTGTGCGCGCCGAGGACCAGGCCGACGACGATGACGACGACGACGATGACCACCGTGGCGACGTCGTCCATCGCTCCACCGGTGTCGTTGAAATCGGCTTCATCCCCGACCCCAGCGGACAGGTGAGGGTGAAGCCGTCTCGTCCAACAACCTCGCCGGGCTTAAGTCTGCTGCTCACGTCATGCGTGCGTAGACAACTGCTCGGAGGGTATAGTGTCGGTAAAGAAAATAAACACGTGCCTGTGGTGGTCGACTTATCTCATGGTTACTACGAGGAAGGGTCATTTCCACAAAAACGTGACCTATTCTTGATTTTTATTCTTGGTTCTTTCGGTAAAGTCACCACCACGTAGAAGGGAAACAATAAAATAATAAAAATATAAAACAATAAAATTCTCACCTGATGATGATTGCTTCTTGTGTTGCAGTCGAAACGTCGTGAGAATTTTATTGTTTTATATTTTTATTATTTTATTGTTTCCCTTCTACGTGGTGGTGACTTTACCGAAAGAACCAAGAATATGAATCCCTGCAGTCACGAAAGCTTTAAATCAAAACTTATTCTAGATTTATTTTTGACAGTAGAATGTTTTTTTTTGGTTTAGATCGTATACATATTAAATGTGTCATTAAACCCTCCACCACCCGGCACGGCCAATTGGGAAGGTTTGTCATTAACAATTGTAAATGTTGCAGTGGGTTTATTCTCCAGCACACACCGGTCTGCTGAACTAGTGACGAATTGGCACGTTTTGTTTACGTGACGAACCTTAACGATCGCCTGCGTCGGGTGGGTGGTGGCGGGTCTTACGACGCATTTATACTGACACAATCTATTAAAGCAATAATGGGTTTCCAGGAAGGGAACCCGAATGTATAACAGTGTGGCCTGTGGGAAATTAAGTTTCAACGTACGATGGTTCCACTTGCCACCGCCATCCAGGAACTAATTAAGTTGGAGGTGTGGGGGTCGCCTGTAGTGAGTGGTCGTAGGTGTAGGGGGTCGCCTGTAGTGAGCGGATGTAGGTGTTAGGGTCGCCTGTAGTGAGTGGTAGTAGATGTGGGGGTCGCCTGTAGTGAGTGGTTGTAGGTGTGGGGGTCGCCTGTAGTGAGTGGTCGTAGGTGAGGGGGTCACCTGTAGTGAGCGGTCGTAGGTGTTGGGGTCACCTGTAGTGAGTGGTAGTAGGTGTTGGGGTCGCCTGTAGTGAGTGGTAGTAGGTGTTGGGGTCGCCTGTAGTGAGTGGTAGTAGGTGTTGGGGTCACCTGTAGTGAGTGGTCGTAGGTGTTGGGGTCGCCTGTACTTCTCCCGGTCATGGGGGCCAAACATCAATGGTTTTCTTGATAAATGGCCACGTGTCTCACCACGTGGTTACTCTAACTCGAACCAGTCTGATCCAGATTCAGTCACCCTCGTGATTGATTATGCAAGCTGGGTCAGACCATTTAATGCTTTTCACTGGTGGGGGGGGGGAAGATATAAATGCAGGTCATACCGTTAACTAAGAAAACAAATAGTTTTAATTAGCCAATCCTGGAGCTGGAATGATTAGCTAGTGGTCTTTATAATCGTCAGAGTTTTGTATTTTAAGGTGCCCTGGGATGATCTGCATGAGCACGCTGTGTATTGCATCGAATGTATCAACATGGGTCATTCCATTTTCATGCCCTTCATTGGGGGAAGGAATTCTTCAATACGAATCGTACCTTTTAAGTAGAATTAAAACACAGTATACTGTTTAAACATGCCAAGCCTTGAGCTGAAATGATTGGGCAGTAATTTTATTATTACAGTCAGAGAGTTTGTATGTGAAAGTGCCCCACCACGACGGAGCCCAAATGTTCGTTGCATTGTTTCGTCCGTCTCTAGATCGCCGGAGGCCCCGGGCCTCACCAAGACCACCACCACGGTGGCCGGGCCCACTCCCGCGGCCTCGACGGAGCTCACCGTCAAGCCCGCCGAGTGGTCGCCCTGGCTCAACGTGTCCACGCCGACGCCGGACAACGAGGGGGACGTCGAGACGATCGAGAGGATCAGGAACGCCGGCGTCGACGTCTGCCCGGAGCCCGTGGCCGTCCAGTGCCGGGCCGTGATGTACCCGGGCCGGGACGTCTCCACGCTGGGGCAGAAGGTCATCTGCGACCGTCTCGTCGGCCTGATCTGTCGCAACGCCGACCAGAGCGGGCCCAGGCCGCTGTGCCTGGACTACGCCGTCAAGTTCTTGTGCGCGCCGGCGACCGGGCCGACGACGACGATGAGGCCGACCGCCGCGACATCTTCCGTCGCTCCGGGCGTGTCGCTGAGCTCCGTTCCGACTCCGCCTTGGGAAGCGAACTCCACCGAGCCCGACATCAAGCCGGCCGAGTGGACGCGCTGGTTCGACGTGTCCGCGCCGACGCCGGACAACGAGGGGGACATCGAGACGATCCAGAAGGTCAGGAACGCCGGCGTCGGCGTCTGCTCGGAGCCCGTGGGCGTCCAGTGCCAGGCCGTGATGTACCCGGGCCGGGACGTCTCCACGCTGGGGCAGAAGGTCATCTGCGACCGTCTCGTCGGCCTGATCTGCCGCAACGCCGACCAGAGCGGGCCCAGGCCGCTGTGCCTCAACTACGCCGTCCGCTTCCTCTGCGGGGCCAAATCCAATATCACCGCTGCGACGACGACGCCGCCGCCGCCGCCCGGCACGCCAGCAGGTTTGTTCACAAAACGCAGCTGCGCCCGTGATTGGCGCCGTTGGCTACGTGCTACGGTGGCGGTGCTACGCTACCCGCTACACTACTACACACTGCAGGTGATCCCCGACTTGTGCTTACGCAGGCGTAAAGCTTTCGTGACTGCAGGAATTAATATTCTTGGGTTGTTCGGTAAGGTCACGTAGATAGGTTCAAAGAAAATAGCAAAAGATAACGCGAGCGGTCGTCTTCCTGAAGACGGCCGCTGATGTCGTAGGTGCGGGGGTCACCTGTAGTGAGTGGTTGTAGGTGCGGGGGTCACCTGTAGTGAGTGGTTGTAGGTGCGGGGGTCACCTGTAGTGAGTGGTTGTAGGTGCGGGGGTCACCTGTAGTGAGTGGTTGTAGGTGCGGGGGTCGCCTGTAGTGAGTGGTTGCAGGTGCGGGGGTCACCTGTAGTGAGTGGTTGTAGGTGCGGGGGTCACCTGTAGTGAGTGGTTGTAGGTGCGGGGGTCACCTGTAGTGAGTGGTAGTAGGTGCGGGGGTCACCTGTAGTGAGTGGTTGTAGGTGCGGGGGTCACCTGTAGTGAGTGGTAGTAGGTGCGGGGGTCGCCTGTAGTGAGTGGTCGTAGGTGTTGGAGTCGCCTATGCTATACATACTATACACTATACACTAATACAACCTACACTACTATACAATACACTACACACTACACTACTATTAAATACACTGCTATACACTACACTACTATATACTACACTATACACAGTACACTACTATAAACTAATACACACTACTATTCTCTACATGCTCTACTACTATACACTACACGCTACACTACTGCACTACGAGTGAGTGGATGAGTAGGTGGGTGGGTGAGTGGGTGGTTGAGTCAGTGGTTAAGTGGGTGATTGGGTGGGTGGGTGGTTGGGTGGGTGAGTGGATGAGTGGGTGGGTGGGTGAGTGGCTGGCTGGGCGGTCGGGCAGGTGAGTGGGTGAGTGGTTAGCTAGTTGAGTGGGTGGGTGAGTGCTTTAGTGGTTGAGTCGGTGAGTAGTTGGGTGGTTGGGTGGGTGGGTGAGTGTATGAGTCGGTGAGTGGGTGAATGGATGAGTGGGTGGGTGGATGAGTCGGTGAGTGGGTGAGTGGATGAGTGGATGAGTGGGTGAGCGGATGAGTGTGTGGTTGTACGGTGGGGATGACCTGGGCCGGACGTGAGGTGGCCACCCGTTTGCCCCCGAAGTGACCTTCCGCCTTTGTGTTGCAGCTTCAGCCGCCACCACCACTTTGTCCCCGGCGACGGTCTGCAAGGTGAGTGCCTGTGGGGACGTTCCCGCTCGTGCTCGGATCCGCGCACACAAACTCGCACGCACACACACATGCACAACAACGGCCGTTCGCCACTAGAAGTTGTGCATACGTACACTACGCACCACACTACGCTGAAGTAACACTGTTCACCACGCTGCAGCACAACAAGTCGCCGGGTTGCCGCGGAACGCAACATACGGAAATGCTCCCGTAAATCACGTCAGTCAACAGAATTGCCGAGCTTTGCAGCGCAGCGAGGTCGCGATCGAACGCAACGCGGAGCGGGGCGAGGCGTAAGGCGGCGGCGGCGGCGTTATCGCCGCTCTGCGCTGTCGGCCGAGCTGTTACACCCGCCACGCCGTCTCGTTACATCTCAGCTTTACGCGGCTGCTTCTCTTCATTTTGAGTTCATTTCGCGCGTGTCTTCACCGCGCGTACTTGAGTTGACGCGACCGCGCCCCCGATTCGCTCAACACCCGTCGGAGGCGATCGGGCCTAGGCCGCTGAACGGCAAACGAGACGCCTCGAGTTAATGACCTCTACGGGGAGGATTTCCACCTATCCGTTAGAGCTTTTAACAGACGACAAGATAAGAAGTCACAGCTCATCGAGACGCTGACCTTCCTCAAAAGATGCCTGGCTCCTCCCGCCCCCCCCCCCCCCCCCCCCACCTTAACCTGTATATAATCTCGGGTGTCCCAGAGCTCCCAACTTGATGCAGCGAACTTTGTTGTGTCTGTTCCACCTGAAGACGGAAGCTTGTGTTGCCTCGGAAACGTCGTGGTTTAAGTTAGTTATTTTATTTTATTTTTATTTTACCTACGTGACTTGACCGTGAAAGACCAAAGACTGTGTAAACGGACATTCGGGAACGACCGCCTTTTCCGTTAAACAACCGACGTTGAAATGTTCCGTGGTGTTCGTGAGACAAAATGGGGATGCGGGAAAATGTCCCGTGAGTTTAACAACGGTGGTGGTCAGCGGGAAGGTGGACGTTCGATCGAAATGAAAGAATCGTAGATAAGCACAGGACGTATTGCAGAGGGATATAACGCGGGGCACCGAGAGAAAAGGAACCCATTGATGGGGTGGTAGTGGAGGCAACAGCTACACCCGGCTGTGGGATTCTGTCGTTGATTTTGGGAGGGGAGGGGGGTGGCATTTTCAGTTACCGACACGCAGGGAATTCGGGTTATGGATCGATCTCGGGGAAGCTAACCCTTCCGTAACCCGGGGACTGTCTGTAAACTACACGACTATACACTACACTACTATACACTATACACTACACGATACACTACACTATACACTACACTACTATACTCTACACTACTATACACTACACTATACACTACTATACATTACACTACTATACACTACACTATACACTACTATACACTACACACTGCATTACTATACTCTACACTATACACGACGATACACTACTATACACTACACAATCCACTATACACTACACTACTATACACTACACTATACACTAAACTGTATATTACACTACTATACACTACACTATACACTACACTATACACTACACTACTATACACTACACTATACACTACACTACTATACACTACACTACTATGCACTACACTACACTACTATACACTACACTACTATACACTACACTACTATACACTACACTATACACTACACTATACACTACACTACACACTACACTACTACACTACACTATACACTACACCACTACACTATACACTGCAATACACCACACTACACACAAACACTATACACTACACTATACACTACACTATACACTACACTATACACTACTACACACTACACTACACACTACACTACACACTATACACTACTACACTATACACTACACTACTACACTACACACTACACTACACACTACACTACACACTACTACACTACACACTACACTACTCACTACACCACTACACACTACACTACACACTAATACACTACACTACACACTACTACACTACACACTACACTATACACTACACTACTACACTACACACTACACTACACACTACACTACACACTACTACACTACACACTACACTACTACTACACTACACACTACACTACACCACTATACCCTCCACGTTGCCGTGGTCGCTTCCCGCCGCCAGGAGGAGGAGAGGCCGGTGACGGCGTGCGTCTCTCTGTTCGTCCACTCGTGCACGGGGGCCCAGCGAGTGGTGGTCACCAAGTCGTGCGACTGGAGCGCCAGCGAGTGTCACAAGCACGGCTCGTTCCCCGTGGCCACCACGCGGCCCGGAGAGTGCTGCCCGCACTACCAGTGTGGTATGGCACTGTGTGGTGTGTGTGGTGTGTCTGTGTGTGTGTGGTGTGTGTGTCTGTGTGTGTGGTGTGTGTGTGTGTGGTGTGTGTGTGTGTGTGGTATGGCACTGTGTGTTGTGTGTAGTGTGTGTGGTGTGTGTGTGTGGTGTGTGTGGTGTGTGTGGTGTGTGTGGTGTGTGTGTCTGTGTGTGTGGTGTGTGTGTCTCTGTGTGTCTGTGTCTGTGTGTGTGGTGTGTGTGGTGTGTGTGTCTGTGGTGCCGGACGGGCAACTCTGTCGTGGACAGCGCTGTGGGGGGAGTTCCAATTTTGATTGGCTCCTCCCCTCATGGCATATGTGTCCACCACAGGGGCTAAACGGGGGCTCTGGACGGGTGCGAGGGGCTGGTAACCCCTCCACCTTCAATTAATTACCACAAAACCACGAATTAAACTGAAATATGTAACAACTAAGCTTGTGCCGGAGGCCCCGGGGGGCCAGGCGTCTATGACATCTCCTGGCCAAACCCCAATTGGCGGAGCCAGGAGATTGAATACCTACCCTCGGGGCTACTCCAGAAACAACGAAAAGCCACTACGGGTGGCCACGTGGAATGTTCGAACGCTCACTGCAGAGGAGAGGCTGCCACTCCTCTGTCGGGAGCTGGACCGGTACCGCCTGGATCTATGCGGCATTCAGGAGGTCCGGTGGACCGGCTCTGGCTCCTGCCACCATGAGGGGTGGACAGTCCTCTACTCGGGGCAGCAGACTGCCAAACAACAGGGTGTGGGTCTTCTTTTGAACAAAAGAATGAAGGGGGCGTGGGAGCGTGGCGGTGAGGTGTGGGAAGCTGTAAGCCCCAGGCTACTTTGGGCTCGCCTTCCCATCAACCGGAGGCGAGGAATGGTGGTCGTGGTTACTTATGCCCCCACCGAAGATGAACATCCGTGGAGGGATGCAGGCAAAGCCGATGAGTCAGATGCCTTCTATGACCTCCTGTCACAGGTGCTGGCTAAAGTGGCCCCTCGGGATAGAGTCATCATGTTGGGTGACTTCAATGCCCGAGTTGGTCATGATACTGGCACCTGGTCTGGAGTGATTGGAGGGCATGGGCCAGATCAGCTCAATAACAACGGTAGGAGGCTGCTAGATTTTTGTGCAGCCCATGGGCTTGTAATTACCAACACGCTGTTCCGGCATCGGCGCATCCACACAACATCATGGATGCATGCCGGGTCCAAGCAAGAACATCTGCTGGACTACATAGTGACGGACCAGCGAATGCGAGCCCATGTCCTTGACACCAGGACCTACCGTGGAGCTGATCTGCCCTCTGACCATCGACTAGTCATCTGTAAGATGCGCCTGCCATTCTTCCACTCCGGTGGTGGGTGTACACCCAGGACCCCATTCCAACCTAAAGTGGCCTGGTCTCAGTTATCTGATGAAAGTCGCAAGCGAGAATTTCATCATCGCTTGCGGCTGGGATTGGCATCGTCCCCGACTCCTCCTGATGTCGAGGGTAAATGGGCGAGGTTTAGGACTGTGACTCATGCAGCTGCAATGGCTGCTTTGGGTACGCGGTCCAGACCTCCCCAGACACCCTGGATGACAGAGGAGTTGTTCAGGATGGTTGAGAAAAAGCGACAGGCCCACTGTCATCGGCTACAGAATCCCACGTCAGAGAATGAGGAGGCTTACCGCAGCCTTCGCTCGGAGGTTCGGAGAGCCGTGAGGCGCTGCAAGGATGGGTGGTGGTCGCGGGTTGCTGAGGAGATGGAGTCTGCCTCAGTGGCCCGTGATCACAAATCTCTATTTAACTCCATCAAAAAAGTAACCTGCAGCGCCACACCTATTACCATCATTAGGGGAAAAAAACGGTGATCCAATTTCCGACCCCCAGGAACAGGTTCGCAGATTTGCTGAGCATTTCTGTGAGGTCCTGGGGGAGGGAAAATCCCTCAGCCAGGAAAACAACGTGGCACAAAGTGAGGATGACCCTGCTGAGGCTGCGTTGCCTCAAATATTGGATGAAGTCACCCCCTGTGAGTGGCTGGCTGAGGTGCCATCTGCTGAGGAAGTATTGAAGGCGATCCGGAGTCTGAGACCAGGAAAGGCAGCGGGCAGAGATGATCTCCCAAGCGAAATGCTGAGGGAGGGTGGCGTTTGTGCACAGACTGCCCTATATGACATTATAACAACAGTCTGGACCACTGGACGGGTTCCGCAGGATTGGAAGGATGCCCTGGTGGTCCCCCTTTTTAAGAAGGGGGACCGCACAGACTGTAACAACTACAGGGGCATCTCACTCCTCAGTGTGCCGGGAAAGGTCCTGGCAAGGATTATTCAGCATCGCCTTGCCAGGCACGCTGAGGAGAGGCTTGCGGAGCCCCAATGCGGTTTCAGGAAAGGGCGGTCCTGCACAGATGCCATATTTTCTGTCCGTCTGCTACAGCAGAGGTGTAGGGAATTCCAACAAGACCTACATCTCTGCTTTATTGACCTGGTCAAGGCCTATGATACCATCAGTAGGCCTGGGCTCTGGGTCGTTCTTCGTGCTTTTGGAGTACCTGACCCTCTGCTCACGATCATTAAGGACCTTCATGATGGTGAGCGGGCCCGGGTAAAACTACGTGGCCGGGAGTCAGAGCCATTCCCTGTACACCTTGGGGTGCGACAGGGATGTCCTCTGGCTCCCACATTATTTAACATCTATTTTGACCACGTAGTTCGTGAAGCCTTCAATAGCTGTACCGGGGGAATCTCCATACGGTACAGATATAATGGGAGGCTAATCGATGCCTGGGTGCGGTCAAGGGATGGCTCCCTATTGCTCAACCACGTTATGTATGCTGATGACTTGGTAATAGCTGCTCAGTCAGAGGAGGAGTTGGAGACGCTGCTGCTGAGACTGGAGCGTGCCACTAAGAGGTGGGGCCTTACCATCAGCCCCACCAAAACTAAGCACCTGCCTGGGTATTTTGTACCATCGGACACTCCACCCCCACAACTCCCAATCGGTGATGGGGCAGTTGTGGATAGAGTGGAGAGTTTCCCATACCTGGGCAGTGTGCTTATGACTGGCTCCAGTTTAACAGCAGAGGTCTCACTCCGAATCAGTCGAGCGGCAATATCTTTTCATCGGTTGCGTAACGCTGTGTGGAAGCTACCTGGTCTGTCGCTCCGCACTAAGCTTCAGGTCTTCTCGGCCACGATCATTCCCTCCCTTCTCTACGCTTGCGAAACGTGGACCCCCCTAATGGAACATCTTCGCCGGTTAGAAACATTTAGGCTGACCTGCCTACGATCCATCCTGGGTTTAACCAGACTGGATTGTGTGAGGAGCTCACAAATCCTTGAAAGATCTGGGCAGGGTCCCATCGGTGAGCTCCTCCGGCAGGCAAGGCTGCGATGGCTGGGTCATGTAGCCCGCATGCCCAGCCACCGCATGCCGAAACAGCTTTTGTTTGGCCGGATTGAGGGGGCTAAGCGGGCGCGGCAAGGGCTAGAGAAGAGATGGAGTGATGTGGTACAGGAGGACGTGGAGCTGAGTGGACTTGCCGATGACTGGTACCAGCGGTGTCAAGATCGGCCTCTGTGGAGGAGGCTCGTGAAGGATGCTACTGGGCAGTTGGAGGCAGTCGCCCTCCAACAACAACGGAGGGCGGAGGAGCGACGCTCACAACAGCGAGCGGAGCGCCGGGTGGCTAAAGCACAGCAGGTTGGCACAGTAGGGGGCACAGGTGGTGCATCAGCCAGTCATCTCAGTCAGTCGACCCGTGGTACCTGGGTCTGCCCCGTGACCTTCCAGCGGGCGTTCGACACTTCACGTTGCCTCAACGTGCACATGGCCTGGCACAAGCGTCGTGGTGACGTCACCGCCACTTAGTGGCGAATGGCAGTTGTTGTTGTTGTGTGTGGGGAGCGGTAGTGTAGGCGCTACGCTGCGCTATGAACCTGGCGACCCGGGTTCGATTCCCGCTCACGGCCAACACCTGTGACGATTATCTGAACCGGTCCTGGACCTCGCCTAGGTCGACTCAGCCTCAAATGAGTACCTGGTGCGGTGCGTAAAAACATCGCCACTGGGGAGACAAAGGCGGCCGGGCGTGGTGCTGGCCACCCACCCCCTCGTGTGCCGTTACCGGCCTTCGTAGGTGCTGCTCGCTAGCAGCACTTGCCCCTACAGTCTGTTGAGGCTACACGGGGGATCTTTGTCTTTGTCTCTGTGTGTAGTTTGTCCGGAGGACTGTGCGGTGCCGGCGTGTTCGCCCGGCAGCGTTCTCATGGAGCTCATGGAGAGCAGCGCTCAGAACAGCTGCTGCCGCAGCTACGAATGTGTTCCTCGTAAGGGACTCACTCACTCACTCAGAGACTCACTCACTCAGCCACTCACTCAACCACTCACTCACTCGCTCACTCACTCAGAGACTCACTCACTCAGCCACTCACTCACTCACTCAGCCACTCACTCACTCGCTCACTCACTCAGAGACTCACTCACTCAGCCACTCACTCACTCACTCAGCCACTCGCTCACTCACTCAGCCACTCGCTCACTCACTCAGCCACTCACTCACTCAGCCACTCACTCACTCAGCCACTCGTTCACTCACTCACTCAGCCACTCGCTCACTCACTCAGCCACTCACTCGCTCACTCAGAGACTCGCTCACTCACTCAGCCACTCACTCGCTCACTCAGAGACTCACTCACTCACTCAGCCACTCACTCAGCCACTCGCTCACTCACTCAGCCATTCACTCGCTCACTCACTCAGCCACTCACTCGCTCACTCAGAGACTCACTCACTCACTCAGCCACTCACTCGCTCACTCAGAGACTCACTCACTCGCTCAGCCACTCACTCGCTCACTCACTCAGCCACTCACTCACTCACTCAGCCACTCGCTCACTCACTCAGCCACTCGTTCACTCACTGAGCCACTCACTCGCTCAGAGACTCACTCAGCCGCTCGCTCACTCAGAGACTCACTCAGCCACTCGCTCACTCAGAGACTCGCTCAGCCACTCGCTCACTCAGAGACTCACTCAGCCACTCGCTCACTCAGAGACTCGCTCAGCCACTCGCTCACTCAGAGACTCACTCAGCCACTCGCTCACTCAGCCACTCACACAGTCCCTCGCCCACTCAGCCACTCGTTCACTCATTCAGCCACTCACTCATTCAGCCACTTACTCACCCTGCCACTCACTCATGCAGCCACTCGCTCACTCACTCAGCCACTCGCTCACTCAACCACTCACTCACCCTGCGACTCACTCACTCAGCCACTCACTCACCTTGCTACTCACTCACTCAGCCACTCACCCACCCTGCCACTCACTCACTCAACCACTCAGCCACTCACTCACTCAACCACTCACTCACTGAGCCACTCGCTCACTCAACCGCTCACTCACTCAGCCCCGCACTCACTCAGCCACTCACTCACTCAGCCCCTCACTCACTCAGAGACTCGCTCACTCAGAGACTCACTCAGCCACTCGCTCACTCAGGGACTCACTCAGCCACTCGCTCACTCAACCACTCACTCACTCAGCCCCTCACTCACTCAGCCCCTCACTCACTCAGCCACTCGCTCAGCCACTCACTCAACCACTCACTCACTCACTCAGCCCCTCACTCACTCAGCCACTCACTCAGAGACTCACTCAGCCACTCGCTCACTCAGAGACTCACTCAGCCACTCGCTCACTCAACCACTCACTCACTCAGCCACTCACTCACTCAACCACTCACTCACTCAGCCCCTCACTCATTCAGCCACTCACTCACACAGTCACTCACTCACTCAGCTACTTATTGACCCACGTAATCACTCGCACAGCCACATTCATTCACACACTCACTGACCCAGCCACCCAAACGCCTACCTAGTCACCCACTCACCCACGCACTCACCCGCTCATCCACTCACTCACCCGCTCACTTATGGCGCAGTGGCTGTGTGGTTCTTTAGTGGCGACTGTGCGTGGTGGTGTCGTGTGTGTGGCGTGTCACAGAGCCTTCGCCGACATGTGAATATAATGGCAAGATGTACCAGGTGAGACTCACTCATCCACTCACTCACCAACTCACCCACCTGCCTTCCCACCCACTCACTCACTCTCTCAACCACCCACTCAGCAATTCACACATTTTCCTTCTCACTCACCCACTCATCCACCCACTAACTAACTCACCCACTTGCCTTCCCACTCACTCACCAACTCACCCACTCGCCTTCCCACTCACTCACCAACTCACCCACTCGCCTTCTCACTCACCCACTCACTGACTCTCTCAACCACCCACTCAGCAATTCACCCATTTTCCTTCTCACTCACCCACTCATCCACCCACCCACCCACTAACTCACCCACTCACCTTCCCACTCACCCACTAACTCACCCACTCATCCACCCACCCACCCACTAACTCACCCACTCGCCTTCTCACTCACCCACTAACTCACCCACTCGCCTTCCCACTCACCAACTCACCCACTCGCCTTCCCACTCACCCACTAACTCACCCACTCGCCTTCCCACTCACCCACCAACTCACCCACTCGCCTTCCCACTCACCCACTAACTCACTCACTCGCCTTCCCACTCACTCACTAACTCACCCATTCGCCTCTCACTCACTCACCAACTCACCCACTCTCCTTCCCACTCACCAACTAACTCACCCACTAACTCACCCACTCGCCTTCCCACTGACTCACCAACTCACCCACTCGCCTTCCCACTCACCAACTAACTCACCCACTCACCTTCCCACTGACTCACCAACTCACCCACTCGCCTTCCCACTCACCAACTAACTCACCCACTCGCCTTCCCACTGACTCACGAACTCACCCGCTCGCCTTCCCACTCACCAACTAACTCACCCACTAACTCACCCACTAACTCACCCACTCACCTTCCCACTCACCCACTCACCCACTAACTCACCCACTAACTCACCCACTCACCTTCCCACTCACCCACTCACTCACACACTCACTCACCAACTCACTCACCAACTCACTCACCAACTCACTCACCAACTCACTCACCCACTCACTCACCGCACTCACTCACCCACTCACTCACCGCACTCACTCACCCACTGCTGGGTAGTTTCTTGTCCTCTTCCCCCCCCCTCCCGTACCTCCGATTAGCGCGGTTGGCTACGTGCGGTGGTGTGACAGAAGTTCAACACACACACGTACACACACATACACACACATACACACATACACATACACACACACGTACACACACACATACACACACAGGGTACACACACACACGTACACACACATACACACACATACACACACAGGTACACACACAGCGTACACACACACATACACACACATACACATACACACATACACATACACACAAACACACACGTACACACACACGTACACACGCGTACACACACACACGCGTACACACACACACACGCGTACACAACAACAACAACAACAACAACCGCCATTCGCCACTAAGTGGCGGTGACGTCACCACGACGCTTGTGCCAGGCTATGTGCACCCTGAGGCCACGTGAAGTGTCGAACGCCCGCTGGCAGGAGGTCACGGGGCAGACCCAGGTGCCACGGGTCGACTGACTGAGATGACTGGCTGATGCACCACCTGTGCCCCCTACTGTGCCAACCTGCTGTGCTTTAGCCACCCGGCGCTCCGCTCGCTGTTGTGAGCGTCGCTCCTCCGCCCTCCGTTGTTGTTGGAGGGCGACTGCCTCCAACTGCCCAGTAGCATCCTTCACGAGCCTCCTCCACAGAGGCCGATCTTGACACCGCTGGTACCAGTCATCGGCAAGTCCACTCAGCTCCACGTCCTCCTGTACCACATCACTCCATCTCTTCTCTAGCCCGTGCCGCGCCCGCTTAGCCCCCTCAATCCGGCCAAACAAAAGCTGTTTCGGCATGCGGTGGCTGGGCATGCGGGCTACATGACCCAGCCATCGCAGCCTTGCCTGCCGGAGGAGCTCACCGATGGGACCCTGCCCAGATCTTTCAAGGATTTGTGAGCTCCTCACACAATCCAGTCTGGTTAAACCCAGGATGGATCGTAGGCAGGTCAGCCTAAATGTTTCTAACCGGCGAAGATGTTCCATTAGGGGGGTCCACGTTTCGCAAGCGTAGAGAAGGGAGGGAATGACCGTGGCCGAGAAGACCTGAAGCTTAGTGCGGAGCGACAGACCAGGTAGCTTCCACACAGCGTTACGCAACCGATGAAAAGATATTGCCGCTCGACTGATTCGGAGTGAGACCTCTGCTGTTAAACTGGAGCCAGTCATAAGCACACTGCCCAGGTATGGGAAACTCTCCACTCTCTCCACAACTGCCCCATCACCGATTGGGAGTTGTGGGGGTGGAGTGTCCGATGGTACAAAATACCCAGGCAGGTGCTTAGTTTTGGTGGGGCTGATGGTAAGGCCCCACCTCTTAGTGGCACGCTCCAGTCTCAGCAGCAGCGTCTGCAACTCCTCCTCTGACTGAGCAGCTATTACCAAGTCATCAGCATACATAACGTGGTTGAGCAATAGGGAGCCATCCCTTGACCGCACCCGGGCATCGATTAGCCTCCCATTATATCTGTACCATATGGAGATTCCCCCGGTACAGCTATTGAAGGCTTCACGAACTACGTGGTCAAAATAGATGTTAAATAATGTGGGAGCCAGAGGACATCCCTGTCGCACCCCAAGGTGTACAGGGAATGGCTCTGACTCCCGGCCACGTAGTTTTACCCGGGCCCGCTCACCATCATGAAGGTCCTTAATGATCGTGAGCAGAGGGTCAGGTACTCCAAAAGCACGAAGAACGACCCAGAGGCCAGGCCTACTGATGGTATCATAGGCCTTGACCAGGTCAATAAAGCAGAGATGTAGGTCTTGTTGGAATTCCCTACACCTCTGCTGTAGCAGACGGACAGAAAATATGGCATCTGTGCAGGACCGCCCTTTCCTGAAACCGCATTGGGGCTCCGCAAGCCTCTCCTCAGCGTGCCTGGCAAGGCGATGCTGAATAATCCTTGCCAGGACCTTTCCCGGCACACTGAGGAGGGAGATGCCCCTGTAGTTGTTACAGTCTGTGCGGTCCCCCTTCTTAAAAAGGGGGACCACCAGGGCATCCTTCCAATCCTGCGGAACCCGTCCAGTGGTCCAGACTGTTGTTATGATGTCATATAGGGCAGTCTGTGCACAAACGCCACCCTCCCTCAGCATTTCGCTTGGGAGATCATCTCTGCCCGCTGCCTTTCCTGGTCTCAGACTCCGGATCGCCTTCAATACTTCCTCAGCAGATGGCACCTCAGCCAGCCACTCACAGGGGGTGACTTCATCCAATATTTGAGGCACCGCAGCCTCAGCAGGGTCATCCTCACTTTGTGCCACGATGTTTTCCTGGCTGTGGGATTTTCCCTCCCCCAGGACCTCACAGAAATGCTCAGCAAATCTGCGAACCTGTTCCTGGGGGTCGGAAATTGGATCACCGTTTTTTCCCCTAATGATGGTAATAGGTGTGGCGCTGCAGGTTACTTTTTTGATGGAGTTAAATAGCGATTTGTGATCACGGGCCACTGAGGCAGACTCCATCTCCTCAGCAACCCGCGACCACCACCCATCCTTGCAGCGCCTCACGGCTCTCCGAACCTCCGAGCGAAGGCTGCGGTAAGCCTCCTCATTCTCTGACGTGGGATTCTGTAGCCGATGACAGTGGGCCTGTCGCTTTTTCTCAACCATCCTGAACAACTCCTCTGTCATCCAGGGTGTCTGGGGAGGTCTGGACCGCGTACCCAAAGCAGCCATTGCAGCTGCATGAGTCACAGTCCTAAACCTCGCCCATTTACCCTCGACATCAGGAGGAGTCGGGGACGATGCCAATCCCAGCCGCAAGCGATGATGAAATTCTCGCTTGCAACTTTCATCAGATAACTGAGACCAGGCCACTTTAGGTTGGAATGGGGTCCTGGGTGTACACCCACCACCGGAGTGGAAGAATGGCAGGCGCATCTTACAGATGACTAGTCGATGGTCAGAGGGCAGATCAGCTCCACGGTAGGTCCTGGTGTCAAGGACATGGGCTCGCATTCGCTGGTCCGTCACTATGTAGTCCAGCAGATGTTCTTGCTTGGACCCGGCATGCATCCATGATGTTGTGTGGATGCGCTGATGCCGGAACAGCGTGTTGGTAATTAAAAGCCCATGGGCTGCACAAAAATCTAGCAGCCTCCTACCATTGTTATTGAGCTGATCTGGCCCATGCCCTCCAATCACTCCAGACCAGGTGCCAGTATCATGACCAACTCGGGCATTGAAGTCACCCAACATGATGACTCTATCCCGAGGGGCCACTTTAGCCAGCACCTGTGACAGGAGGTCATAGAAGGCATCTGACTCATCGGCTTTGCCTGCATCCCTCCACGGATGTTCATCTTCGGTGGGGGCATAAGTAACCACGACCACCATTCCTCGCCTCCGGTTGATGGGAAGGCGAGCCCAAAGTAGCCTGGGGCTTACAGCTTCCCACACCTCACCGCCACGCTCCCACGACCCCTTCATTCTTTTGTTCAAAAGAAGACCCACACCCTGTTGTTTGGCAGTCTGCTGCCCCGAGTAGAGGACTGTCCACCCCTCATGGTGGCAGGAGCCAGAGCCGGTCCACCGGACCTCCTGAATGCCGCATAGATCCAGGCGGTACCGGTCCAGCTCCCGACAGAGGAGTGGCAGCCTCTCCTCTGCAGTGAGCGTTCGAACATTCCACGTGGCCACCCGTAGTGGCTTTTCGTTGTTTCTGGAGTAGCCCCGAGGGTAGGTATTCAATCTCCTGGCTCCGCCAATTGGGGTTTGGCCAGGAGACGTCATAGACGCCTGGCCCCCCGGGGCCTCCGGCACAAGCTTAGTTGTTACATATTTCACTTTAATTCGTGGTTTTGTGGTAATTAATTGAAGGTGGAGGGGTTACCAGCCCCTCGCACCCGTCCAGAGCCCCCGTTTAGCCCCTGTGGTGGACACATATGCCATGAGGGGAGGAGCCAATCAAAATTGGAACTCCCCCCACAGCACTGTCCACGACAGAGTTGCCCGTCCGGCACCGCGAGGAGGTAGGGGGTTGTTTTGCCGGACTCACGCGTACACACACACACGCGTACACACACACATACATACACACACATAAACACAAACACACACGTACACACACACGTACACACGCGTACACACACACACGCGTACACACACGTACACACACACGTACACAAACACACACACGTCCACACGTACACACACGTCCACACACACACGCGTACACACACGTACACACACACGTACACAAACACACGCGTACACACACGTACACACACACAAACACACAAACACACACACGTACACACACACGTACATACGAACAGCCCCAGCAGTCTATTGAAAGGCTTCCCGGTGGTGATTGTCTCTGTGTGCAGGTTGGGGAGCAATGGAACAAGGACAACTGCTCGTTCCTGGAGTGTACGGAGTCACAGGGGTCTGCGTTGCTGAGGGAGCACCAGATCACCTGCCTGGAGCCCCAGTACCCACACACGTGTACAAATGTGAGTCACTCACTCACTCGGCCACTCACTCACCTAGCCACTCACTCACTTATACACTCACTCACTCAGAGACTTACTCATACACTCACTCATACACTCACTCATACACTCACTCATACACTCACTCACTGAGTCACTCGCTCAGCCACTCGCTCAGCCACTCACTCATACACTCGCTCACTCAGCCACTCACTCACTCAGCCACTCGCTCACTCATACACTCACTCACTCATACACTCACTCACTCAGAGACTCACTCACTCAGACACTCACTCACTCAGACACTCACTCACTCACTCAGACACTCACTCACTCAGACACTCACTCACACACTCGCTCATACACTCACTCATACACTCACTCACTTATACACTCACTCACTCATACACTCACACACACTCACTCATACACTCGCTCACACACACACTCACACACACTCACTCATACACTCACTCACACACTCACACACACACACTCACTCATACACTCACTCACTCATACACTCACTCACTCATACACTCACTCGCTCATACACTCACTCACTCATACACTCACTCGCTCATACACTCACTCATACACTCACTCACTCACCCACACACACACTCACACACACACACTCACTCATACACTCACTCACTCATACACTCACTCATACACTCATTCACACACTCACACACACTCACTCATACACTCACTCACTCATACACTCACTCACACACACACTCACACACTCACTCACTCACACACTCACTCACTCATACACTCATACGCTCACTCATACACTCACTCACTCATACACTCACTCACACACACACTCACTCATACACTCACCAGATCACCTGCCTGGAACCCTGATGATGATGGTGCTGATGATGATGGTGCTGATGATGATGGTGATGATGATGATGGTGCTGATGATGATGGTGCTGATGATGATGATGGTGCTGATAATGATGATGGTGCTGATGATGATGGTGCTGATGATGATGCTGGTGCTGATGATGATGGTGCTGATGCTGTCTCTCCTAGGTCAGCGTAGTCTATGATGTCCATGGGTGCTGCATCACCTACAAGTGTAACGATGGTAAATAGACACTCACATCGCACTGACTCACCCTCACCGCGTGTCTGTGTGTGTGTGTCTGCCTGTGTGTCAGTTTAACAGCAGAGGTCTCACTCCGAATCAGTCGAGCGGCAATATCTTTTGATCGGTTGTGTAACGCTGTGTGGAAGCTACCTGGTCCGTCGCTCCGCACTAAGCTTCAGATCTTCTCGGCCACGGTCATTCCCTCCCTTCTCTACGCTTGCGAAATGTGGACCCCCCTAATGGAACATCTTCGCCGGTTAGAAACATTTAGCCTGGCCTGCCTATGATCCATCCTGGGTTTAACCAGACTGGATTGTGTGAGGAGCTCACAAATCCTTGAAAGATCTGGGCAAGGTCCCATCAGTGAGCTCCTCCGGCGGGCAAGGCTGCGATGGCTGGGTCATGTAGCCCGCATGCCCAGCCACCGCATGCCGAAACAGCTTTTGTTCGGCCGGATTGTGGGGGCTAAACGGGCGCGGCACGGGCTAGAAAAGAGATGGAGTGACGTGGTACAGGAGGACGTGGAGCTGAGTGGACTTGCCGATGACTGGTACCAGCGGTGTCAAGATCGGCCTCTGTGGAGGAGGCTCGTGACGGACGCTACTGGGCAGTTGGAGGTAGTCGCCCTCCAACAACAACGGAGGGCGGAGGAACGACGCTCACAACAACGAGCGGAGCGCCGGGTGGCTAAAGCACAGCAGGTTGGCACAGTAGGGGGCACAGGTGGTGCATCAGCCAGTCATCTCGGTCAGTCGACCCGTGGCACCTGGGTCTGCCCCGTGACCTCCTGCCAGCGGGCGTTCGACACTTCACGTGGCCTCAGGGTGCACGTGGACTGGCACAAGCGTCGTGGTGACGTCACCGCCACTTAGTGGTGAATGGCGGTTGTTGTTGTTGTGTCTGTGTGTGTCTGTGTGTGTGTCTGTGTGTGTCTGTGTGTGTCTGTGTGTGTGTCTGTGTGTGTGTCTGTGTGTGTGTCTGTGTATGTGTCTGTGTGGGGAGCGGTAGTGTAGCGGTTAGCGCTACACTGCGCTACGAACCTGGCGACCCGGGTTCGATTCCCGCTCATGGCCAACACCAGTGACGATTATCTGAACCGGTCCTGGGCCTCCCCTAGGTCGACTCAGCCTCAAATGAGTACCCGGTGTAGCGGTGTGTAAACATCGCCACTGGGGAGACAAAGGCGGCCGGGCGTGGTGCTGGCCACCCACCCCCTCGTGTGCCACAGTGCCAGTAGCCTTCATAGGCGCTGCTGCTACTCGCCACTAACAGCACTTGCCCCGGTCAGCCCTCTTAGAGGCTACACGGGAGATCTTTGTCTTTGTGAGTGGTCACGGGACAGACCCTGCAGGTGCCATGGGTCGACTGACTGAGACGACTGGCTGATGCACCATCTGTGCCCCCCTACTGTGCCAACCTGCTGTGTTTTAGCCGCCCGGCGCTCCGCTCATTGTTGTGAGCGTCGCTCCTCTGCCCTCCGTTGTTGCTGGATGTTGACGTGGCTTTAACGTGCACCTAGCCTGGCACAAGCGCCATGGTGACATCACCGCCACTAAGTGGCGAATGGCGGTTGTTGTTGTGTGTGAGTGTCACCTCCTCATTGGTGCCGGACGGCAAAGCTGTGGTGAGCAGTGACGTCGGGGGAGGGACAATTTCGATCAGCCATTCCTCTCATGGCGTTTGTAGCCACCAAAGTGGCCAAATGGGGGCTCTGGATGGGTGCGAGGGGCTGGCAACCCCCTCCACCTTCAAATAAATTACCACTAAACCACGGGATCAAAATCTAAATAAGCTTGTGCCGGAGGCCCTAGGAGGACAGGCGTCTGTGACATCTCCTGGCCAAACTCCATTTGGTGGAGCCAGGAGACTGAATCCTTACCCTCGGGGTTCCTCCAGAAACAGCAAAAAGCCACTTCGTGTGGCCACGTGGAATGTTCGAACGCTCACTGCAGAGGAGAGGCTGCCACTCCTCTGTCGGGAGCTGGACCGGTACCGCCTGGATCTCTGTGGTATTCAGGAGGTCCGGTGGACCGGCTCTGGCTCCTGCCACCATGAGGGGTGGACAGTCCTCTACTCGGGGCAGGCGGCGAGGTGTGGGAAGCTGTAAGCCACAGGCTATTTTGGGCTCGCCTTCCCATCAACCAGAGGCGAGGAGTGGTGGTCGTGGTTACTTATGCCCCCACTGAAGATGAACATCTGTTGAGGGATGCAGGCAAGGCCGATGAGTCAGATGCCTTCTATGACCTCCTGTCACAGGTGCTGGCTAAAGTGGCCCCTTGGGTGACTTCAATGCCCGAGTTGGTCATGATGCTGGCACCTGGTCTGGAGTGATTGGAAGGCATGGGCCAGATCAGCTCAATAACAATGGTAGGAGGCTGCTAGATATTTGTGCAGCCCATAGGCTTGTAATTACCAACACGCTGTTCCGGCATCGGCGCATCCACACATCATGGATGCATGCCGGGTCCAAGCAAGAACATCTGCTGGACTACGTAGTGACGGAACAGCGGATGCGGGCCCATGTCCTTGACACCAGGACCTGCCGTGGAGCTGATCTGCCCACTGACCATCGACTAGTCATCTGTAAGATGCACCTGCCATTCTTCCACTCCGGTGGTGGGTGTACACCCAGGACCCCATTCACACCCATAGTAGCCTGGTGTCAGTTATCTGATGAAAGTTGCAAGCGAGAATTCCATTATCAATTGCGGCTGGGGTTGCCATCATCCCCCACTCCTCTTGATGTCGAGGGTAAATGGCCGAGGTTTAGGGCTGTGGCTCATGCAGCTGCAATGGTTGCCTTGGGTACATGGTCCAGACCTCCCCAGAGACCCTGACTGACAGAGGTGTTCAGGCTGTCTGAGAAAAAGCGACAGGCCCACTCTAATCGGCTACAGCATCCCACGGCAGGGAATGAGGAGGCTTACCGCAGCATTCGCTCAGAGGTTTGCAGAGCTTTGAGATGCTGCAAGGATGGGTGGTGGTTGCGGGTTGCCGAGGAGATGGAACCTGCCTCAATGGCTCGCGATCACAAATTGCTGATTAACTCCATCAAAAAAGTAACTTGCAGCACCACACCTATTACCATCATTAGGGGAAAGACTGGTAATCCAATCTCCGACCCCCAGGAACAGGTTTGCATATTTTCTTAACATTTCTGTGAGGTCCTGGGGGAGGGGAAATCCCTCAGCCTGGAAAACATCGTGGGACAAAATGGGGATGGCCCTGCTGAGGCTGCCGTACCTCAAATATTGGGAACAGAAGTCACCCCCTGTGAGTGGCTGGCTGAGGTGCCATCTGTTGAGGAAGTACTGAAGGCGATCCAGAGTCTGAGACCAGGATAGGCACCGGGCAGAGATGGTCTCCCAAGCGAAATGCTGAGGGAGGGTGGCGTTTGTGCACAGACTGCCCTACATGACATCATAACAACAGTCTGGACCACTGGACGGGTTCCGCAGGATTGGAAGGGTACCCTGGTGGCCTTGCCAGGCACGCTGAGGAGAGGCTTGCGGAGCCCCAATGCGGTTTCAGGAAAGGGTGGTCCTGCACAGATGCCATATTTTCTGTCCGTCTGCTACAGCAGAGGTGTAGGGAATTCCAACAAGACCTACATCTCTGCTTTATTGATCTGGTCAAGGCCTATGATACCATCAGTTGGACTGGGCTCTGGGTTGTTCTTCCTGCTTTCAGAGTCGCTGACCCCCTGCTCACGATCATTAAGGACCTTCATGATGGTGAGCGGGCCCGGGTAAAACTACGTGGCTGGGAGTCGGAGCCATTCCCTGTTCACCTTGGGGTGCGACAGGGATGTCCTCTGGCTCCCATATTATTTAACATCTATTTCGACCAATTAGTTCGTGAAGCCTTCAATGACTGTATCGGAGGGATTTCCATCTGTTAGAAATACAATGGAAGACTGATCGATGCCCAGGTGCGGTCAAGGGATCGCTCCCTATTGGTCAACCACGCTATGTATGCCGATGATCTGGTAATTGCCGCTCACTCAGAGGAGGAGTTGTAGACGCTACTGCTGAACCTGGATCGTGCCACTAAGAGGTGGGGCCTTACCATCAGCCCCACCAAAACTAAGCACCTGCCAGGGTATTTTGTATCATCGGACACTCCACCCCCACATGTCCCTATTGGTGATGGGGCAGTTGTGGAGAGAGTGGAGAGTTTCCCATTCACGGGCAGAGTGCTCATGACCGACTCAGGTTTGATAGCAGAGGTCTCACTCCGAATCAGTCGAGTCGCGAAAGCCTTGATGTTAAACTGACTGACCTCTATCGGGAGGATACTTTTCTTGAGACCAGAAAATTGGAGAAACTCCGCATTAAGCGGCTTAAATTGATGCCTTCACTGGCGTCCCTAAACAGGTGCAGAGATTCGAAAGTAATACCAAACGCAGTTAAAATAACATCACATAAAGTCTGTTAAAGCTAACCAAAGCCAGCTAATTATTACTCGAGAGAATACAGCACAATAGGAGTGAATTATCTCACATTTCGGAATCTTTAAGGCACTTGCACTTAAATATAAGCCATAGTGTATCCATGCATTCCTGGAATACAATCGATACTATAACAACAATCGGCAGATAATGTATTTAATCTAGCAAAAACTTACCAAATTAATCAATTCTCTAGACGTCATAACAAACAATTCCCAACTAAAAATGAACCAATTAAGAACAAAACCGTAACGAACTTGACTAACATCGTTTTAACCAGCGACATGATTTCCGTCCTTTCTAAAGGCCTTAACTTTGCCGTTACCCCACGCACAATTCCAGTGGATGAGATCATTGCTGAGGTAGAATCAGCAGTAAGACTCCTTCCACATAATGAGGCAGAGATGACTCGACACGAGGTTGCTAAAATAATTGAGAATAGAAAAGTACCAAAAGTAAATATTAGCTCTATCGAAGCAAAAGCCTCAAGAGAGCTCCGATTAAATACAGATATTCAAATTCTGGCAGCTGATAAAGGCCGCACTACGGTAGTGATGTCACGAGCAGATTATGATAATACAATTAAAGATTTACTAGAGGAAAGTACCTACACTCAAATTAAACGAGATCCAACTAATACTTTAGAACTTAAGACTACTGCAATCATTGTAAATGCATTAATCCCCAAGGCTGAGCAATACGAAATTAAGCCAAGGGCCTCAAAACCACCTACAGTGAGGGAAAAAAAGTATTTGATCCCCTGCTGATTTTGTACGTTTGCCCACTGACAAAGAAATTATCAGTCTATAATTTTAATGGTAGGTTTATTTGAACAGTGAGAGACAGAATAACAACAAAAAATCCAGAAAAACGCATGTAAAAAATGTTATAAATTGATTCACTGTAGACTGTATGAGCTACCAAAGATTTATAAAATCGGCATCCCATTACGACCCATACTAAGTACAATTGGCTCTGCCACATGTAACTCAGCAAAATATATCACTAAACAAATACAGCTCTACATTGGTAGGACATCTTCATTCATGCGAAATTCAGAACATCTTGTGAATGTGATTACAGATATTAAACTTAACCATAATGATATTCTGGTGAGTTTTTATGTGATTTCTCCATTCACCAAGGTTCCAGTTAATGAGTCGCTTAAATTACTTGATACACTAGTAAAGAATATAGGTTTACCAAAAGATATTCCAAAACTAGCTGACCATTGTTTAAATAACACTTCTTATGGAGAGGGGATTTATTTAAACAAAAGGAAGGAGCAGCAATGGGCTCTCCTTTATCTCCTGCTATAGCAAATCTGTACATGGAAAACTTTGAAACAAGAGCACTTGCCTCAAGCACATTAAAACCATCTTTTTGGTTTAGATATGTGGATGACACTTTGGTTGTCTGGCCACATGGTAAAGATACACTTAATGATTTTCTAAATCATCTAAATGCAACAAAACCCGGCCATCCAGTTCACCATGAAAGCGGAGGTGAATAACACACTCCCTTTCCTAGATATTTTGCTTGGACATGGCCTAAATGGCAAAATAACACACAGCGTTTACAGAAAGCAAACGCACACTGATGCCTATCTGAATGCAGATTCACATCATCATCCAGCTCAGAAATCCTCTCTTATCAAGACGCTCATACATCGGGCTAATACAGTGTCAGATGGTGAGAGTCTAGTGAGAGAGATCAAACACGTTACAGAAGCACTAAGACAGAATGGCTACAATAATACTCAAATTAACAGAGCACTGAATTCCAAATCATGAACGCAAAGCAACACTGCTGAAAGCGATCAGATTATTGAAACAATTAAAATACCATATATCTCAGGAGTAACTAACAAATTAGCCCGTGTTTTGCAGAAGCAAAACATTAAAGTAAAATATTTGGTACGGTATACAAAATAAAATAAAAAAACTAGTATCTTGTACTAAAGATGAATTGCCTACGTTATCAACAGAAGGTGTGTATCGGATTCATTGCGTATGTAGCAGATGCTATATTGGACAGACGGGACGTAACATCAGCGTAAGACTAAAAGAACACCAAAGAAATATTAAATACTCTCAAACACAACTGTCGGCAGTGGCAGAACATGCTTGCCAACAAGGACACTCAATTGATTTTTATAACGTTGAATTGTTGTGTAAAACTAATTATTACTGTCCAAGACTAATTAGAGAGTCCATTGAAATTGAGGGAAATAGAAATAACTTTAATCGCTCTGACAGCTACAGGCTTAGTGTGGCCTGGGAGTGTATTATTAAATAATACATATTACAATTCCTTATAGGGGAAACACATACTAATTGATTACTAACGTAGTATATAATTACAATACCCCCCCCCCTCTCTGCCTCTGACCTCTGCACCTGATGGGTTAAATGATGACATCACCCTGCTGCTCTATTTAAGACCGGGAGCAAGTGTAGGGCTTCACTATTCTGGCAAATTGCCCGATGATGCTGGATGTAATTACCAGAGAAACGTCGAACTCAACAATTGTAAATGTTGTGGATTCACTCTTCAACACACCGGTGGGCTAAAGTAGTGAACTATTTGTCTTTTGTAAACGTGACACTTTTTTTTTACTGATTTGCCGTGTCGAATGGTTGCGACACATTTATAAATAACGCGATCTAACCCAAAAACCTTTACTATGAATCTTTTCATCGGTTGCGTAACGCTGTGTGGAAGCTAGCTGGTCTGTCGTTCCGCACGAAGCTTCAGGTCTTCTTGGCCACGGTCATTCCCTCCCTTCTCTACGCTTGCGAAACGTGGACCCCCCTAATGGAACATCTTTGCCGGTTAGAAACATTTAGGCTGGCCTGCCTACGATACATCCTCGGTTTAACCAGGCTGGATTGTGTGAGGAGCTCACAAATCCTTGAAAGATATGGGCAAGGTCCCATCGGTGAGCTCCTCTGGCGGGCAAGGCTGCGTTGGCTGGGCCATGTAGCCCGCATGCCCAGCCACCGCATGCCGAAACAGCTTTTGTTCAGCCGGATCGAGGGGGCTAAACGGGCGCGGCACAGGCTAGAGAAGAGATGGAGTGATGTGGTACAGGAGGACGTGGAGCTGAGCGGACTTTCCGATGACTGGTACCAGCGGTGTCAAGATCGGCCTCTGTAGAGGAGGCTCGTGAAGGACGCTATTGGGCAGTTGGAGGCAGTCGCCCTCCAACAAAAACGGAGGGCGGAGGAGCGACGCTCACGACAACGAGCGGAGCGCCGGGTGGCTAAAGCACAGCAGGTTGGCACAGTAGGGGGCACAGGTGGTGCATCAGCCAGTCATCTCAGTCAGTCGACCCGTGGCACCTGGGTCTGCCCCGTGACCTCCTGCCAGCGGGCGTTCGACACTTCACGTGGCCTCAAGGTGCACATGGCCTGGCTCAAGCGTCGTGGTGACGTCACCGCCACTTAGTGCCGAATGGCGGTTGTTGTTGTTGTTGTGTGTGTGCGAGTGTGTTTGTCTCTGTGTGTGTCTGTGTGAGGTGCTGGCTAACAGCACTTGCCCCAACAGTCTGCTCGGGCTATACGGGGGGGGATCTTCGTGTATTACTATCGCCGCTGCTGCTGCTGCTCGCTACTTAACAGCACTTGCCCCTACATCCCTGTTAGAGGCTACCTGGGATTACTTTATCTCTGTCTACCCCCCACCCCACCCCCACTACACCACACCCCTAGCAGCCCCCCAGGAAAGCTGCCAACCTCAAAACTTCTGGACGGTCATCAGCGTGGGTGACTGCAGCAGCAAGGGGCCGGTGGAGGTCACCAAATGTGTGGGCACCTGCTTCTCCAGTACCCTGTGAGCGGAACGGTGACGTCACACCGTCACCATGGTTACGCCGTCACCATGGTTACACCGTCAACATGGTTACACCGTCAACATAGTTACGCCGTCACCATGGTTACACCGTCAACATGGTTACGCCGTCAACATGGTTACGCCGTCAACATGGTTACGCCGTCACGATGGTTACACCGCCACCATGGTTACAAAGTCAACATGGTTACACCGTCACCATGGTTACGCCGTCACTATGGTAACGCCGTCACCATGGTTACATCGTCGTTACATCATCATCATCATCATGGTCACGTCATCATCATCATCGCGTCATCATCATTATTAATATCAACCACCCCCACATCCACTTACTACTGACGGCACTTGCCCCCTAGAGCCCTGCCGCGAGAGGCTACCTGGGGTGGCCGACCTTTACCTTGTCACCTTCGTTGCAGGTCGGACGCGTGGTCCTCATCCTCATCCTCGGTCTCCACGGCGACCGGCGCTCCACCTCAGCCGTGGCGCGGCAGCTGCTCGTGTTGCCGGGAGACCGGCGGCGGCGGCCCCGGCGGTGGGCCCGGTGGGCCCGCTGGGCCCGTCGTCGTCTCCGTGCCGCTGCTGTGCCCCAACGGCACGGAGCTGAGCGCCGACGTGGCCCTGGCCCAGCGCTGCCGCTGCGTCGCCGCTGAGTGCGCCGCTCCGTGACGAGTGACCTCTGAGTGACCCCCACACACTCACACACCAGCCCCGTGACCTCTGAGTGACCCCCACACACTCACACACCAGCCCCGTGACCTCTGAGTGACCCCCACACACTCACACACCAGCCCCGTGACCTCTGAGTGACCCACACACACTCACACACCAGCCCCGTGACCTCTGAGTGACCCACACACTCACACACCAGCCCCGTGACCTCTGAGTGACCCACACTCACACCAGCCCCGTGACCTCTGAATGACCCCCACACCAGCCTCGTGACCTCTGAGTGACTCACACACCAGCCTCGTGACCTCTGAGTGACCCACACACATTCACACCAGCCTTGTGACCTCTGAGTGACCCACACACTCACACCAGCCCCGTGACCTCTGAGTGACCCACACTCACACCAGCCCCGTGACCTCTGAGTGACCCACACACCAGCCCCGTGACCTCTGAGTGACCCACACACTCACACCAGCCCCGTGACCTCTGAGTGACCCACACACCAGCCTCGTGACCTCTGAGTGACCCACACACATTCACACCAGCCTTGTGACCTCTGAGTGACCCACACACTCACACCAGCCCCGTGACCTCTGAGTGACCCACACTCACACCAGCCCCGTGACCTCTGAGTGACCCACACACCAGCCCCGTGACCTCTGAGTGACCCACACACACACGCCAGCCTCGTGACCTCTGAGTGACCCCCACACCAGCCTCGTCACCTCTGAGTGACCCACACACCAGCCTCGTGACCTCTGAGTGACCCACACACATTCACACCAGCCTCGTGACCTCTGAGTGACCCACACACCAGCCTCGTGACCTCTGAGTGACCCCCACACTAGCCCCGTGACCTCTGAGTGACCTACACACCAGCCTTGTGACCTCTGAGTGACCTACACGCCAGCCCCGTGACCTCTGAGTGACCTACACACACACACTCTCTCCCCGTGACCCACACCACCACCACCCCCGATCTGAATCCGCCTGGGGTCAAGTTCGGACTCTGTGACTGACGTATGTGTCTGTGTGTGCGTGCATGTGTGCGTCTGTGTGTGTGTGTCTGTGTGTGTCTCTGTGTGTGTCTCTGTGTGTGTCTGTGTGTGTCTCTGTGTGTCTCTGTGCCTGTGTCTCTGTGTGTCTCTGTGTGTGTCTCTGTGTCTCTGTGTGTGTCTCTGTGTGTGTCTCTGTGTGTGTCTGTGTGTGTGTGTCTCTGTGTGTGTCTCTGTGTGTCCCTGTGTGTGTCTCTGAGTGTGTCTGTGTGTATCTCTGTGTGTGTCTGTGTGTGTGTCTGTGTGTGTCTCTGTGTCTGTGTCTCTGTGTCTCTGTGTCTCTGTGTGAGTCTCTCTATGAACCTGGCGACCCGGGTTCGATTCCCGCTCACGGCCAACACCAGTGACGATTATCTGAACCGGTCCCGGGCCTCCCCTAGGTCGACTCAGCCTCAAATTAGTACCCAGTGCGGTGTGTAAACATCGCCACTAGGGAGACAAAGGCGGTCGGGCGTGGTGCTGGCCACCCACCCCCTCGTGTACCGTTCCGGCCTTCATAGGTGCTCGCTAACAGCACTTGCCCCTACAGTCTTTTAAGGCTATACGGGGGATCTTTGTCTTTGTCTGTGTGTGTCTCTGTGCCTGTGTCTCTGTGTGTGTCTCTGTGTGTGTCTGTGTGTGTGTCTCTGTGTGTCTCTGTGTGTCTGTGTGTGTGTCTGTGTCTGTGTGTGTCTGTGTGTGTCACTGTGTGTGTCTCTGTGTGTGTGTCTGTGTGTGTGTGTGTGTCTGTGTGTGTCACTGTGTGTGTCTCTGTGTGTCTCTGTGTGTGTGTGTGTGTCTGTGTGTGTCTCTGTGTGAGTCTCAGAGTCACAATAAACGTCGCTTCCATTGCACTGCACCGACTCTGCTGTGAACTCATTCCCACGTGCACCGTGCGTCTCGCGATGCCTGTGTCTCTGTCTGTGTCTCTGTGTGTCTCTGTGTGTGTGTCTGTCTGTGCCTGTGTCTCTGTGTGTCTCTGTGTGTGTCTCTGTGTGTCTCTGTGCCTGTGTCTCTGTGTGTGTGTCTCTGTGTCTGTGTCTCTGTGTGTGTGTCTCTGTGTGTGTCTCTGTGTGTGTCTCTGTGTGTGTGTGTCTCTGTGTGTCTCTCTGGTGTCTCTCTGTGTCTCTGTGTGTGTGTCTGTGAGTGTCTCTGTGTGTCTCTGTGTGTCTCTGTGTGTGTCTGTTTGTCTCTGTGTGTGTCTCTGTGTGTGTCTCTGTGTGTGTCTGTGTGTGTCTCTCTGTGTGCAGCCCATGGGCTTGTAATTACCAACACGCTGTTCCGGCATCGGTACATCCACACAACATCATGGATGCATGCCGGGTCCAAGCAAGAACATCTGCTGGACCACGTAGTGACAGACCAGCGGATGCGAGCCCATGTCCTTGACACCAGGACCTACCGTGGAGCTGATCTGCCCACTGACCACTCCTGTGGTGGATACCCACCACAGGAGTGGAAGAATGGCAGACGCATCTTACAGATGTGGTACAGGAGGCACGGGCTAGAGAAGAGATGGAGTGATGTGGTACAGGAGGCACGTGGCTAGAGAAGGGATGGAGTGATGTGGTACAGGAGGCACGGGGCTAGAGAAGAGATGGAGTGACGTGGTACAGGAGGCACGGGCTAGTGAAGAGATGGAGTGATGTGGTACAGGAGGCACTGGGCTAGAGAAGAGATGGAGTGATGTGGTACAGGAGGCATGGGCTAGTGAAGAGATGGAGTGATGTGGTACAGGAGGCACGGGGCTAGAGAAGAGATGGAGTGATGTGGTACAGGAGGCACGGGGCTAGAGAAGAGATGGAGTGACGTGGTACAGGAGGCACGGGCTAGAGAAGAGATGGAGTGATGTGGTACAGGAGGCACGGGCTAGTGAAGAGATGGAGTGATGTGGTACAGGAGGCACGGGGCTAGAGAAGAGATGGAGTGATGTGGTACAGGAGGCACGGGGCGAGAGAAGAGATGGAGTGACGTGGTACAGGAGGCATGGGGCTAGAGAAGAGAAGGAGTGATGTGGTACAGGAGGCACGAGGCTAGAGAAGAGATGGAGTGATGTGGTACAGGAGGCACGTGGCTAGCGAAGAGATGGAGTGATGTGGTACAGGAGGCACGGGGCTAGATAAGAGATGGAGTGATGTGGTACAGGAGGCACGGGGCTAGATAAGAGATGGAGTGATGTGGTACAGGAGGCACGGGCTAGAGAAGAGATGGAGTAGATGCGGTACAGGAGGCACGGGGCTAGAGAAGAGATGGAGTAATGTGGTACAGGAGGCACGGGGCTAGAGAAGAGATGAAGTGACGTGGTACAGGGGGCATGGGGCTAGAGAAGAGATGGAGTGATGTGGTACAGGAGGCACGGGGCTAGAGAAGAGATGGAGTGATGTGGTACAGGAGGCACGGGGCTAGAGAAGAGATTAAGTGACGTGGTACAGGAGGCACGGGCTAGAGAAGAGATGGAGTGATGTGGTACAGGAGGCACGGGGCTAGAGAAGAGATGAAGTGTCGTGGTACAGGAGGCACGGGCTAGAGAAGAGATGGAGTGATGTGGTACAGGAGGCACGGGCTAGAGAAGAGATGGAGTGATGTGGTACAGGAGGCACGGGCTAGAGAAGAGATGGAGTGATGTGGTACAGGAGGCACGGGGCTAGAGAAGAGATGGAGTGATGTGGTACAGGAGGCACGGGGCTAGAGAAGAGATGGAGTGACGTGGTACAGGAGGCACGGGGCTAGAGAAGAGATGGAGTGACGTGGTACAGGAGGCACGGGGCTAGAGAAGAGATGGAGTGACGTGGTACAGGAGGCACGGGCTAGTGAAGAGATGGAGTGATGTGGTACAGGAGGCACGGGCTAGAGAAGAGATGGAGTGATGTGGTACAGGAGGCACGTGGCTAGTGAAGAGATGGAGTGACGTGGTACAGGAGGCACGGGCTAGAGAAGGGATGGAGTGATGTGGTACAGGAGGCACGGGGCTAGAGAAGAGATGGAGTGACGTGGTACAGGAGGCACGGGCTAGTGAAGAGATGGAGTGATGTGGTACAGGAGGCACGGGGCTAGAGAAGAGATGGAGTGATGTGGTACAGGAGGCATGGGCTAGTGAAGAGATGGAGTGACGTGGTACAGGAGGCACGGGGCTAGAGAAGAGATGGAGTGATGTGGTACAGGAGGCACGGGGCTAGAGAAGAGATGGAGTGACGTGGTACAGGAGGCACGGGCTAGAGAAGAGATGGAGTGATGTGGTACAGGAGGCACGGGCTAGTGAAGAGATGGAGTGATGTGGTACAGGAGGCACGGGGCTAGAGAAGAGATGGAGTGATGTGGTACAGGAG